AACAAGATAGTGGGTTTCAAACTACTCCATCATGCCCTGGGACGCCTGCCAACTGTTCGGCTTTCAAGAACCTCTATAATGCCTCTACCCAGTTGGGGACTCAAACTCTTTCTCGACGGCAGGGAGTCCCTACTCTCATCGATGATAAGAAATCGAAGAATAGTTGGCAGGAGAAGTTCCTGTAGACGAACATCGATCTCATGGTGCTCAGTTATCTTAGGGAAAAAGTGTACGTCAACCGTGCTCCGACACTTTTTGGTGCTGACAATGAACTGGCCGATGTTCTGTGACAACCGTCAAATTCTGGTCAATTCAAAGTCAAATAAAGTCAACAAGTCAAACCGGTTAGCTCAACTAACCCTTGTGTACTAGGACTTACGTTCAATATTTACTAAACAACTCGCTATTCTGATAAGAAATCATAAATCGAAAAGTACGTACAACTAGATCTCTTTAACCTAAAAACTGTGGTACGTGGCGGCCCAAACCGATAAAACAATGTTGCATACTCATCAGGAGTGTGTAAGATCCTTAAACAAGGCTTAACAGGGTTTACGAACCATGCGTTGCGATGCCGGACACTCACAACTGTCCCACATGGAACCTCTCTCAATCGTTTTCACTCTATCTCTCTCTCTGTCAAATCTCTCCCAAATCCCTCTAAGTATGTGAAATCTCTCTCTAATATCTCTTTGTATGAGAAATCTCTCCAAGAATGTCAAATCTCTCCCAAATCTCTCCAAGTATGTGAAATCTCTCTCTAATATCTCTTTGTATGAGAAATCTCTCCAAGAATGTCAAATCTCTCCCAAATCTCTCCAAGTATGTGAAATCTCTCTCTATATGAGAAATCTCTCCAAGAATGTAAAATCTCTCCAAGTATGTGAAAACTCTCGCAAATATCTCTTTGTATGAGAAATCTCTCCAAGAATGTCAAATCTCTCCTAAATCTCTCCACGTGTGAGAAATCTCTCCCAAATCTCTCTCAAAAGTTCCCGTAACTTTTTGGGATCATTCGGGTCATTCCGACCCTTAACTGGGTCAAAAACGGCTCAAAACGGGGCGAAAACGAGAAAAATAGGCTTTAGGAACCGAAACCAAGAAGAGAGGCCTCTTAGGCAAGGACCGAGCCTCCGTTGGCTGAGGCATGCGAGACCGAGCCTCGGTCTCTGCTCCTCTCGGTCTCTGCTTCTTTCTCTCCTCTCTGTTCTCTTCTCTGCTTTCGGTCTCTGTCGCCTTCTCTCCTGGACGAACCGAGCCTCTGTTGGCCGAAAACGGAGGACCGAATCACTGTAGCTGAGACCGAGCCTCGGTCTCTGTCGCTCCTTCACTCTCTGTCTCTACCCGCCTCTCGGTCTCTGTCTCTTCCCTCCTCTCGGTCTCTACTCCGCCTCTTTGTCTCTTCTCTTCTCTCGGTCTCTCTTCTGCTCTCTCGGTTCCCTCTCTCTCCTTTCTCCCCTCTCGGTTCCTACTCTCCCTCTTCTCCCCTCTCGGTTTCTACCCTCCCTCCTCTCGGTTTCAGCATCAGAAGGCCGAACCTCGGCCAGAATTCGGAAATTTGTCACTTTTAGCCCATTTTTGATATTTTTAACATTTTAAGCCCGTTTTTCGTGATTTTAAAGCGGGATTTTCTCCAGAAATTATATTTTAACATAATAAACTCTAAATATTCATAATTTAAACATATTTTGATGAAAATCATTATTTGAATAATAAAAATCAAACGGGTGAATTATTAAAGGTGGAGTGTTGACTTTGCCTTATCCAATGTCACAAGCAACCACCCCACACCCACTCTTTGACTAACCACACCTCCCCACCTTACCTAGGTCACTTCAATGTCCCTTACACTCAATTTACACTCATTCCCACGTTTTTAGAGCTGGAACAAACATCCTCTCTCCTCATTTTCTCTCATTTGCCCTCATTTCACTAAGTATCAAACACCACTTTTCTCTCAAACTTTTCCCACTCCAATTTCGAGATCCAAGGCTGATTTTCAAGTGTTCTTCCACTCTTAGTAAGTATAATTCATCATCCTTATGATTATTTCACTTCATTCTACTCAAATCATGAATATCTTACACAAACTCCATCATATTAGCGTTAGAGCTTCGAATCTTCAAGTGATTCTTCAAGTGTTCTTGGGTTGAACACTTCTCTTCTTCAACACTTATCTACTGAAATCACTCAAGGTGAGTTCATACCCCTACATTTTCATGTTTGCTCAAGTTTTCATGTTATCCAATGTCACAAGCAACCACCCCACACCCACTCTTTGACTAACCACACCTCCCCACCTTACCTAGGTCACTTCAATGTCCCTTACACTCAATTTACACTCATTCCCATGTTTTTAGAGCTGGAACAAACATCCTCTCTCCTCATTTTCTCTCATTTGCCCTCATTTCACTAAGTATCAAACACCACTTTTCTCTCAAACTTTTTCCACTCCAATTTCGAGATTCAAGGCTGATTTTCAAGTGTTCTTCCACTCTTAGTAAGTATAATTCATCCTCCTTATGATTATTTCACTTCATTCTACTCAAATCATGAATATCTTACACAAACTCCATCATATTAGCGTTAGAGCTTCGAATCTTCAAGTGATTCTTCAAGTGTTCTTGGTTGAACACTTCTCTTCTTCAACACTTATCTACTGAAATCACTCAAGGTGAGTTCATACCCCTACATTTTCATGTTTTCTCAAGTTTTTAGGGGGGGAATACAAGTTAAAACACCAAGAACATAACTAAAATTTTCTAACAGCCTTCATCAGAAAAGTTCAACTCCATTCATGGACTGTTTTGGACAACTTAAACATTTTATTTTTTAAAACTGTACAAGGTGCAAATAGTTAAAGTTCTTAGCTTTAAAATGACTACTTGCACATCTCCATACGATTTTTCTACAATTTATGGTGAATTTTACAAAACTGCCTATCATTTCAAACACCAATCCGGACCAGTCTGTGATTATGGACTTTTTCACCCAAATTTGAGGTCATTAAAAATCTTGATAAAAATTATGAGTAAACTAGACACATTTTTCGAACTCTCAGAATTTACGGATCTAGTTTTCGACTTCGTATGATTTTTCTATGATTTTTCTAAAACAGTGCTGAAAGACTAAGAATTAATTAACAGCTTCTAACTATCAAAACACTTTGTAACATGTTGAGCAAAGTGTTAAAACTTTGATAACTTCATATATTACATGTATTTCTTGTTATGATATATTTATATATAGGAAATTACTTGCTGAATTTATAAGAATCCTCCATCATAATCATTAGTACAAGACAAAACAAGTTAAACATAGCTATATTGTACTATACATTTGACTTCCATAGAATGGATTCTTAAACACCACAAAGAAATATACTAAACTATAATAGGTATAGTTAGGGTACATATACATTTCAAACATTTTAATAAACTATAATAGGTATAGTTTATGATCATTTACATAACATACTTATACAAAAAGGGGTACAAATACAAAGTGTCGGGTTTATATACAAAAAGGGGTACAAATACAAAGTGTCGGGTCTCTATACAAAAAAAGGGGTACAAATACAAAGTGCCGGGTCTCTATACAAAAAGGGGTACAAATACAAAGTGTCGGGTCTCTATACAAAAAGGGGTACAAATACAAAGTGTCGGGTCTCTATACAAAAAGGGGGTACCGATACAAAGTACAGGTTCAATTAAGATAGTTATTATGATATTAAAACTATACTTCATCTAGAATTGTTAGACTTCAACTATAGTCGCTGAGCGTATATGTTTGAGTCATATAAGAATTTAATCTTGATTGGCCTAGAATTGGTGGTGCCCGCCATCTCCTGTTCCTCGTTGGGTTGTGGACCTAGGGCAGACCCACTATATTCAACGTTTTATCTAATTTAAACCTTATATAACTTATATACGCTGGACGATTATAGAGGAACTCTACGGGTCATTCTAGGGTTCATTAATGCATCATAGAGGAATATTCTATTCACACTTAACTAAGAAAATATTGGATTTTCTAGAAATCAAACTATATTTCATCTAGAATTGTTAGACTTCAACTATAATCGCTGAGCGTATATGTTTGAGTCCTATAAGAATTTAGTCTTGATTGGCCTAGAATTGGTGGTGCCCGCCTCATCTCCTGTTCCTCGTTGGGTTGTGGACCTAGGGCAGACCCACTATATTCAACGTTTTATCTAATTTAAATCTTATATAACTTATATATGCTGGACGATTATAGAGGAACTCTACGGGTCATTCTAGGGTTCATTAATGCATCATAAAGGAATATTTCTATTCACACTTAACTAAGAAAATATTGGATTTTATGCAAACCAAACTATATCGATTTTACAAGGAAAACGGTTTCTACTTCAAACAAAACTCTTATGAACTCACCAACTTAATTGTTGACACTTTTCAAAACTACTTGTATTCTCAGGAAATCGTGAAACAGGAAAACTTCATCGCTTTAGGATGGGACGTTAAACCGTCAACAATTTATTTTTGTCATCATAATGTAATTGTTTTTGAAACATGTAAACATATACTTTGGTGTAACTTTTTCAATTATATATATGGTGGTTGTATTTACTTTGAGCACTATTATATTCGTTGTTGTGATACTGTACATGAAGTCCTCCACCCCCGGACGTTTCCGCCATCCTTGGTTTGGGGGTGTGACAGATTGGTATCAGAGCATTGTTTATAGTGAGCTAAGTATATCGAACCACATAAGATATACAAACTATAAATGCATTGGGACTAAGGTCTCTGATTTAAAGTTTTCAAAACAACTATACCTTTAGTGAAACGACCCAAAAATTTTTGTTTTTAATATAATCAAAACTATAATCAGAGTATCATATAAATAAACCATGCGTGATATGTCCCAAAATATAATAAAGTACTGTGCGGAAACTGTATCATACTACATCAAATCAACAACTAAATCAATCCCAGACTGAAGCTGAGGCGGTGGTGTGTGCGATGCCGTCACCCGAGCTCTTCCCTTTGCTTGCGGAAGTACCTGAAACCAAAACTGAAACTGTAAGCACGAAGCTTAGTGAGCTCCCCCAAATTACCACATACCATACAAAACATATAAACACATATTGGGCCTTGCCCACTGCATCGGGCCGAGGCCCGGAAACTGCATCGGACCGAAGTCCGGAACTGACTGGGACCTTGTCCCCTGCATCGGACCAAAGTCCGGAACTAGCTGCATCGGACCAGAGTCCGGAACTAACTGCATCGGACCGGAGTCCGGAACTGACTGGGATCGTGTTCCCTGCATCGGACCAAAGTCCGGAACTAGCTGCATCGGACCAGAGTCCGGAACTAACTGCATCGGACCGGAGTCCGGAACTGACTGGGATCGTGTCCCCTGCATCGGACCGAAGTCCGAAACTGACTGAGCATAGCATAGCATATCATAACAAATATACTGCATACTGCATCGGGCCGTAGCCCGGAACATAAAACACATAACACATAGCGCATGAATTATGTCTGAACCACGAAGGCATCAAACATACTAACTACTA